AGCCATACACCCCTCCCACCCCCCCTCCAGGGCTGAGGGCTGCCCAGGCAGGGACGATGGGGACAAGGTTGCCACCGGAGCTGGGCACCAGCCACATCCCGCATCCGCCCCGGCAATCCCGACCGTCAGCAAATAAAAAGGGAGAGGACGGACAAAGCCAAACCACGGCGTGAGAACAAACGCTGAATTTTTTTTTTTTTTTTTTGTCAAAATGATGGATCGCTCTCGGCAGCCCAGGTGCTATTTTAGAAGCCACCTGAACCAGCTGCCACCTCCCTCATTTCCTCCTCTCCGCAGCCCAGCCAAGCCAAGCCTGTGGACTCCACCAGCATCTCCCAGTTCCTGCTGGCAAAGACAAACCACAGCATGGAGGAGGGGTTCCTGACAGACGTATTTGTAGGGCCCGGCTAATTAGCAAACGGCAAGCAGCTGCCCTGAGTTTCCCACACCCCCCCATCTCGCTGCCCTGTGGGTGAAGAGCGTTTTGGGGTGGTGTTTGCAGCACAGGACCCAACTTTGTCTCCTTTTCCCACTCAACTCGGCGTGAGCCTCTGCGCCAGGAGCCGCAATCACAGCACTGCCTACGTTAACGGGTCCTAATTAAAAGGGGAAACTGGGAGACACACACAACACACCCCCCCCCCAATGCTGACCCATACAAACCCAAGCCACATCCTGCTGCCCTGCCGTGGGAACCTGGTGGCCGTGGGGACCTGGTGGCCATAGGGACCTGATGGCCATGGGGATCTGGTGGGCCCCTTCACCCAGGGCTAGCACACCCCCCCGGGAGGCTGCGATGCCACGAGACCCCAGAGCCGGGGGTGTGAGGGGGTTAAAGCTGTTCAGAGAGAGCCCTCGAAATGCCAAACGTGTCATCCCCGTGATGAACACCCCCCCGCGGAGATCTCCCGGGGAAGGGGGAGTTCGATAAGACAGACGTAAAGTGAATATTTCTTATGATGTATGATTTATAAGTAGATCTGCCTTGAAAAATAGTGCGAGGGGCGAGAAGGTCGCCGGAGCTAAGAGAGACGGTTGAGCTGACGGAAGGTTGGAGCGTGAACCGGTGCTGCGCTGGGGGGTGAAATCCTCCCCCCTGCTCCTCACGGAGCCCTGTTGGGAATAAAACTGGGGAGAAAGGAGGTGAACGCAAGTCCTCCGGGGCTTCGCATCCTCCCCAAGGATGGGACAGGGCAGAAAGTGCCATTTCACAGCAGGAAACACCCCCCCCCCCCCAGCCCGGACGGTGCTACGGTGTCCCTCAAGCCGAGGGCTGAGGATGGAGCCAGCTCATGACACCGATGTCAGAGGAGCAGAAGGGGAAAAAGACACTTGAAGAGGCTGAGGGGCACATGGCTCTCCCTTTTCTCCTTGCCCAGACCAGCTCCCAGATTTGGGGAGGGGAGAGGGGGGTTGCACCGAGTACTCCGAGCCCCGCGAGCGGTTCCCAGCCAGCGCGGCGGCTCTCCGGCACAAGCGTGGGCTCTGTGCAAAGCGGCAGCTTTTCGTCTAATCCTCCGGAGCGTCTCTCCTGCCCTGCTCGAGACCTGCAGGGACCTGGATGCATTTTAATAGGGCCAACGCCTGAAAGCGCAGGGTTTCTGGGGAGCTCATTAATAAAGCACAGGCATACAAATTTCATGAGGCGAGAAGGAAACGGGGGCCAAAGAGCCAGGGAGGGGACCGCGCTGGGAGATGCGGTGTCACCAGCTTGTCCCCTCGGCAGGCCCTGCCTGGCCTCTCGGCGCAGGAGGGGGTCAGGGGCAGAGGAAGAGGAGGAGGAGGAGAAAGAAGGCGACGGGGATGGCAGCGCCGCTGCAAGCCTGGTCCGTGCTGCGCGGCGTGGGCTGAGCCCGGGGGTCTGACGCCCACCTGCCCCGTGGGTGCTGCTGCCCCCTGTTGGTGCCCCGCGTGGGGCAGAAAGACAGCGTGGGGCTGGTTTCCCAACCGGAGCCTCTTCCTTCTTCCCCGCAGGTTGTGGTTTTCCTAGGGCAGGCCCTGGCAGAGCATCCTCACCGCCGGCCCGGGATGCTCCGCTCCATGGAGGGGGTGAGGGAACGCAAAGCCCCGTGTGTGGGGAGGGCTGCGGTGCTCCTTCCTGGTGCTCGCTCGCAATACTCGCTCACGGTGCCGATCCCCATCGGTCCCATCGGTCCCCATCGGTCCTATCGGTCCCATCGGTCCCATGGAGGGCACGAGCAACCGGAGCGCGGCAGCGTGCATCACCGCTCTCCCGGCTCACGCGGCCCCTTCTTTCTAGAAAGGTAAAGTAATCCCTCCGCTATCCCCACAGGCGATTAGCGGCGTTCTGCCTCAGCCTTGTTATCGAGAAACAACACTAACAGCTCATTTGTTTCAATCGCTTGGGCTCCAGGTTGGGGCTGGGGGTCCCGGGGAAGGGGGGCAGCCGCTCACTGCTCCCACCGCTCCAGCCCCACGCGAGGGGGACGGAGAAGGGGTGGAAGACGCATCGAGGCCACCCCGATGGGCACAGCACATCTCCGGAGCATTACAATGACCAATTCCCCCCCTTCTCCCAGCCCCTAAATTGCCAGACAGGCTTCCTTCTCCTCTCGCTTTGCTTTTATGAATAAATCAACCCATGAGCACTTAATCCCCCACTCCAGACACTTTGCTTTTCATACTTTCCAGCAGCTAAAATATTTCCTTGACGCTAATGTAATCCAAAAAGGCGTGCGGGAGACGGGAGGGGGTGGCATCGTCATCCCCAACCGGTGCTAAGCTCCCCGGAGGGAGCCTGGCAAATTCGCTTCGGGAGCTAAAACCCATCGGGTGACGGCAGCGAGGGGATGCGGCGTCACAGCCCTCCTCCGAGGGGTCCCCAAGCGAGCCGGGGTGGCTGCGGGCAGGGGAGCCACGCCATCGCTGCGGGGTCCCCGAGGTGCCACCACCTTCTTGCCCACGTTGCACCCTGCGAGGTCTGGGGAACGCAGGGAACGCCCCCCCCAAAACCCCGCAGCAGCGGGCGGCTCTCGGGGAAAGGGTTAAGAGGAGAAAGAGGAAGGAGAAACCGAGGAATTTCATGATCTTATTTGAAAAGGGGGTGGGGGGGGGAGATGGCAGCACGGAGGGTTGTCATGGAAATAGATGGCAAAAAAAAGTTGCTGAGGATGATGGTGGAGTTTGGGTTCCCGAGAGGAGGACGTGGAGGAAGAGAGATGCTCTGAAGGGCTCAGCATCCCTCTCCCTGCAGCATCCCCTAGCTCAGCTCAGCTCAGCTCGGCTCGGGGTGGGGGGGACAGCCAGCGGGGACCAGCCCGGCTTCCCCACAGATGGGGCATCCTGCCCGTCCCAAATCTTCCAGAAGACAAAACGCTTTACATCGAGCGATGGATGGGCAGCGGGAGGGTCTGGTCCCCCCCGGGGAGCCCGGACTGTGCCTGCGCCTCCCCCTTGCCCCTGCCTTGTGCTGTGACACGTCGGAATCGAGGGAATTACAAACTCTCCAGCCCCCCTCAGCTATTTGATATAAGCCCACAGCTGGAGGCAGCCGAGTCCAAAAGGTAAAAACCTAAATCCCAGCCTGGGGAGGGGGGTAGGGGGGGACACAAGAAGCCGGAGGAGCTGCTGCCGGTGGCTCTGCCGTCACAGGGGCTCAAAGCAACCCCCCCTCCTCAGCCGGGGCTCTCCCGCTCCCAGCGACAGCTCATCCCGCCGGGAAGGTCTGAAACAGAGAGGATCTGTGCCAAAGCGCATCAAACCCCGGCAGCACTCGGGATCCAGCCCCGACATCGCTGCCCTCCGCCAGGCACCCGCCTCCCCCCCCCCGGCCCGGGGGCACGTGTCGCCCTCGGGGGATGCTCAAGGGATCAGGTCTGGGGTGAGGTGAGAAGAGAGGGGCAGGAGAGATCTCAGCGTGGCCATAGGAGCTGGAGGAGCAAAGGGCCAAACCGCAGGGGGAAGGAGTTGTAGGTTTTCCTCGCCAGGGAGCTCGGTAACAGGTCTGCGTTCACGGGCAAGAGAAGATAAAACAGCGGAAGCGTGTTGCTTTTATTACCTGAGAAAATTGAAGCAAGTCTGAATATATCAGAGAGACGAGAGGTGACTGGCTCGTAGGGTGAAGCTTCATAAAATTCTTCTCCTAGAGTGGGAAGGAAGAAAGAGAAGGGGGAGAAAAAGCAAATTAAAAACCACAGTGAATAACCACAGCCACCAGTGAGGCTACGGCCGAGTGCGGGCGCACACCACCCCCCCCCAGTGTGGCAATCTGCGATTTGGGAAGGGAAAACCAAAAACCATTTAAAACACTGCCCTGCAACAAAAGGAAAAGCCCGTTTTGGACCAGCTCAGCTTAATTCTTGCTGGCTGTCCTTCTGCGAGTCAGGTGTGGCAGCGGCTGCGTTCGAACTGACCTCGAGAGTGGAGGGAATTTAGATTTGAAAGGTCAATGTTCGGCGACTCCGTCCGCAGAGTCTGGGCCAGCCGCAAGCTGGAAGTTTTAGGGTCTACACTCAACACTGGATTGTTTTCTTCTTGTTGCAAAAACCAAGCGTTTGCCTAAAAAAAACCCTGTAAAGATTGGTTTCCACTCCGCTCTGCCTCTGATGCGCTTCGGGAAAATGGAAATAATTTCAGTGGGGAAATACAGACCCTCATCATTTGAGCACCAGAGCATCACCCACGCGGCACTCCAGGGGCTCGTCCATCGCAATCCGCAGCCTCATCCATCGCAACCTGCGCTTTCCAGAGGAATCCTGAGCCCGGTCCATCCATCCCCAGGCTGGGAGCAAACCCCCTCTCTCCCATCTTTGGTTTCAGTGCAAACCCACGTGTGCTGTCGCTGCCTGCCCTTCGCGTTATCTCCAGAAGATGCTGATTTCAAGAGAGCCGGCCACGGCTCTCAGGAGAGGAAATGCTCTCCTCAAACCCCATCAGCCACAAGAAAAAAAAAAAAAAATAAAAAAAATACATATATATAAAATAAAAATCAATGGCTGGACTTTGAAAGCCCCAGTCAGAGGTTGACCAGCAACCCGGAGCATCGATCTCCGCTGCGCCTGGCAGCCCTTTCGGCAGCATCCCTGCCCCGGTGCCCGCGCTGCGGATGAGCCTGGTCTGTCCCGGGGACGGACCCCGACAGCCCGGACCGCTCCAGCCCACGTGTGCTCCACCGAGTTATTATTAGCCCAAGGCGGCAGCATTTATCCCGTGTAATTAAGGAGCCACTTGAAACCCTGTGCTGGAAAACAAGCTCATTAAGAAGCGGGGAGCGAGGCGGCAGGGCTTGCTCAAAGCCCAGAAGGTCCTCAGTGCTCTTCCTTGGAAATTTGGGGGGGGGTGGAGGGGTGTCAGAGTTGGGTGGACATCCCAAAGGGATGTCTCCAGCAGCTGTGGGTTGTCAGCCCATCACCCCGTGCCTGGCCTTGCCACCACCCTCAGGGCGATGTTGGGTGATGCTCCGTGGGGGCATCAGCCCCCCGGCGGGGCCAAGGGCAGCTCCCGCCGCCGCTGCTGGCAGCGGGGAAGGAAACAGGCTCTGAGCGACCTGCAAAGTCCTCCCATTTCAGGCCAAACCCTTCGCCTCACCAGGTTTCCTAATGTCCCGATGACAAATAGCACCTTTATTAAAGTGCATTTAGGAAACACAGTAACCTCCCGCTATATTGCTTTGCCAATGTAATAAATAATTAAATACTAGCTGAACCCTGCTGCTTGCTAGGAAAATTACTGAGCGTTAAAAGGGCAGTGGACTTTTCTTGAGCTCGCTGAGATGCAATTAACCTCCAGGAATGAGTTTGGAGTGAAAGCAGTCCTCCTTAATGGCAGGGACAGCCGAGCTCCCGCAGCGGAGGGGCTGGCCAGGAGGCACAGCTTCTGCCACAGCATCTTGGCCAAAAGGCAGGAGGTTGGGGTCTGTCTTGGGCTCCTCCTGGCTTTTACACTCGCCGGTTTGTGCACGTTAAAGCTATGAGCTGCTGGATCTCCCCAAAGCTTCTGCCTCTCCTTACGACTTGGTGTAATCACTTCTCTTCCCACCTCCTCCTCCCGCTACTGGTCCTGGAGTACCCATCAAGCAGTAAAGCATCCTTCATTCAAGTTTGCAAAGCCCTCTGAAATCGCTGAATGAAGGCTGCTAATGAGGGGTAGAAAACAATTAAGCAGTAATTCCTGCTCTGGGCTGGTTTTCCCTCCTCCCTCTGCTGACCCGGATTTGAAGGCAACTTCACCCAGGGGGGCTGTGTGCTGGGGTGCAGCCCCCCACATCCTCACTGCTGCCACCAGAGCCCCCCTTTCCGCCCCCCCAGTAACCCCAGCACCTCCTCTGGCTTCAATCCCAGCTCCAGGAGGGAGCTCAGAGACCCGCGTCCGCTACGGGAACGCGGGTGCCGGGGATGGGGACCCCTCCGCAGGCTCCATCATCCGAACCCCTTTCGGCTCAAGCCGCTTGAGGAGGCGGGGGGTAGCCAAGGGGCCGTCTGCTCCCAAGCTGCCACCGGCCACGGGGGCACGTGCCCTTGCGAGGACAGTGCCGCAACGCCAAGAGCTCCGGTACAGGCAGTTTTGCGCAAGCTGAAGCTGGATTTAAGAGCTTCCATGTGCAGAGCCAGTCGTAAACCCATTAAAGGGATCTATACTGTTAAACTGATGCTGTTTCTGCTGCTCCCCAGTCTGGGGCCGGCCGGGCGCTGGCAGAGCTGCGCGGGGGGTGGCAGGAGGGGGGGGCAGAGCCGAGAGGACAGCAGAGCAAAC